GCAAAGCTGGATCGAGCCAGAAGACACAAAATACAACCCTCGCTCGAGCGACAAATCCCTGGCTCGAGCGACCAACTCAAAAACTGGACAGCAACACTTGGTTTACGAACCCAACCAACCTGAAACAAACCTGGCCAACACTTCCTATAACTCCAAATGAGAGAATAAAGGACGACTACAACAATTATTCAATGACAGAATAACCAGAACCTAAGTCCGGAAACTATAATCAAATGGGAAAAGACCGGGGTCGCTATACCTTATGTCCTAGTTTATTGAACTTTTACAGTTTGTGTTTGAGATTAAAACTTATTATGAAGAAACTTTTACATTATGTCCTGAGATAAATATTCTGTTTGAACTACAGTTACAATGTGTATGCAAATATTAAACAAATTCTACAAGTTTAAAAAAGTCATATTTCATTCCACCCACAACAAAACATGTACAATAATTGGGTTTCAATACACAACAAAACATAACTTGTTCTCAAACATCATAGTACCATACAAGAATATTCAGTCTACTTCTACTTCTACTTCTAACTTGCATGTATATATTGTTACATCTTCATAAGTGATAAGGCACCAATTACAAGCAACACGAACAACACACATTCCATTTTTTGCATCTTTGTGCTCTGAATTCGAAGTTAATCCCTCATAAATCTTTGTTGTTCGGACATAGATCGAAGCTGTTCACGGACAGTTGGCACTTCTCCTTCTACTTGTCTTGGAATTTCATCACCTCTACATTGTGAACTCGTAAGCAAGCACCATCCAATAAAACCACCACAATCATTACAAGAGTAGAATAACTTGTTTTTGTTTTGATCGGTCTCAGAAATCCGTATAGTGACCTTTTTATTACATCTAGGACAATTTTTGTTGAAGTATGTCAACCGATCTGAGCTACTGCCTTTCACACTTGAAGTAGACATTTGCAAAAATATAAACCCAAAAATTATAATGATTATATTTTCATAAAGTCCAATGTGAGTTTTTAAAATTATTATATAATACAAATCCTCATTAAACTGTGAATGCACCTATATTCAAGTTAGGACAATGGATGGCAATAGGGCTATCATGTTCTGGGTTCACCTAGCCTCTTGTTCATATAATTCGCACACATAACACATTTATTAAGACCAAGAATGAAAAGAATCTTAAATCCATCACACTAAATACACATGTGCATACAATACATACAAAAATGCTTCCAACCCGCAAAAATGCTGACCCCCACGACCCCCAACTGATGTGGACGAGTCACGTGATCTTTCACGTGTATCACAACCCAGGGACCTTCTCTTTCTCTCTCCTCATTCAAAGTTCAAATTCTCTCACTATAATACAAATCAAAATCTCCCTATAATATAGATATGTCATCTCTATGGCTCTCTCTCCCTCCTTCCATTGACTCCGACGAGAGAGAGCCTAATAGGCTCCTTCTCTTGACTCCGACGCCTGACTCCCTCCTTCCCTTAACTTCGACACCCAACGTTTGACTCTCTCCAACCAAGACTTGACGAAGGACGACTAAAAGGTAACCCCGACTTCGACTTATATCTCTATATGTGTATATATATTGAGTATATATGTATCTTGTATATATATTAAGGCTTGGGATAAACACTTGGGTTGAATGTTTGGATTTAGGGATTTTGACAATCTGATAATTAATTTCAATGTTTGGATTTAGGGCATTTCACAATCTGATAAACAATTTGAATGTTTGGATATTGGCCTTTTGATTTGGGAATTGAGTAATCTTTACCTTACCTACCACCTGCTCGATGAATTCTTCAACCAAATCTTCAAGTCCTAACCCAAGTGTTTCTGCAAACCTCTTTTTCTCCCACATTTTGATCATTGATTCTAATTATAATTATTTTTTATAACTTACGTTTTTTTTTTTTTTTTTGGCCATGTGTTGGACCTGTATTGCACAAAGAGATATGCTGCTGATTATGAATTACTGGGACTACAAAAAATTGAGAAAATTGGAATTTTTTTCATAAAATGTTAGTCTTTTACGAGTTTGGTTCTTAATATTGCATCTTAAGCTTCTTGAACTTTTACATTGAATTAAGAATCCATATGGGTTCTCAATATATTGTTCTTGTTTTGTTTCATACAAACAAACAAACAAACTTTGCCTCTATACTATATATAACTCTGTTTTGCTTGCTTTGGTTGTCTGTGTTTTTATGCTCTCTGTTCATGTATTTATGTACAGGCACATTTTATATATATCTTATGTATTGTATGCACATGTATATTTCGTGTGATGGATTTAAGATTCTTTTGATTCTTGGTCTTAATAAATGTGTTATGTGTACTAATTATATGAACAAGAGGCCAGGTGAGCCCAAAACATGATAGCCGAGTTACCATCTATTGTTCTAACTTGAATATAGGTGCATTAACAGTTTAATGAGGGTTTATATTATATAATAATTTTAAAAACTCACATTGGACTTTATGAAAATATTATCATTATACTTTTTGGGATTTATATTTTTGTAGAAGTCAAATTCAAGTGCGAATGGAAGTAGCTCAAATCGGTTAACATAGTTCAACAAAAAATGTCCTAGATCTAATAAAAATGCCACCATTTGAATTTCTAAGACTGATCGAAACAAAAACAAGTTATTCTACTCTTGTAATGATCGTGGTGGTTTTATTGGATGGTGCTTGCATACGAATTCACAATGTAAAGGTGATGAAATTCCAAGACAAGTACAGGGAGAAGTGCCAACTATCGGTGAACAACTTCGATCTATGACTGAACAACAAAGATCTATAAGGGATCAACTTCAAATTTAGAGCACAAAGATGCAAAAAAATGGCATATGTGTTGTTCGTGTTGCTTGTAATTTGTGCCGTATCACTTATAAAGATGTAATAATGTATACATGCAAGTTAGAAGTAGAAGTAGAAGTAGACTGAATACTTTGTATGGTACTATGATGTTTGAGAGCAAGTTATGTTTTGTTGTGTATTGAAACCCAATTATTGTACATGTTTTGTTGTGAGTGGAATGGAATATGACTTGTTTAAACTTGTAGAGTTTGTTTAATATTTGCATACACATTGTAACTGTTGGTCAAACAGAATATTTATCTCAGGACATAATGTAAAATTTTCTTCATAATAAGTTCCAATCTCAAACACAAATTGTAAAAGTTCAATAAACTACGACATAAGCTCCATAATGTCTATCACTCCTGGTGTGCATGCATTAGAACCCGATGGGGTTAGAGATCCAGATCAAAAAAAATCTGAGTTAGAACACTCATCAAACTTGCTGGTGTGCCTCTTATAAAGTCTGATGGGGTAAGAGATGTGCCTTCAATAGCATTTACCACCTATGATAATTCAATTAAAAGTACATGTTAAAAAGAATATTTGTAAATGAAAACAAGCAATTGATGTAAAGTCATGTTAAGAACACGTACCAGTACGTACATATTATTTTGCATGCCAACCATATAAGGATAATACGGTGTATATACACTAGCTTTAGCTTGAGCTTGAGCTTCAAATCGATGCACCTTAGCAGCATATAATAATCAAGAATGATCAACAATTGAAACTTATGAATTGCTTTAATGTAGTTGAATAGAGTTTGTTAAAAAAAAAAAAGTTGAATAGATAATTTACCTTTGCTTTTGTATGTTTTTTTGTCGTTGCCTTGAATCGATTCACTATTTGATCTATTTTGGCAACCTTTCATTTGGTAACTGAACGGCCTCTTCGCCGAGCAACCAAAGGACTAATCACCTTCCTAGTACTAGCTCATTTTGTAGAACCGGTGGCAATCAAACACGTAATTGGGGAAGATGGTATATGATTAGTAGAAGGTGGTAAATTACTCTCATCACCCAATTCATCTTTCATGACTCTATCCTTGATTGCATCCAACCCAAGGTCTATAATTTTAATTTTTCCCTCAAAGCTGCCGACAACTTGTACAATGCCAATCAATTTCTTGTTCATCCTCTCATAGCAACTTTCATTGAAATCATCCCCGAAGCCAGTGTATGTGGTTTTGATGCATGGGTACTCGCTATCCAAATCTTTTCTCCATCGTGGTAGAATGTATTTATTTGGAACCTCGTTTATGCACCTTCTCACAAGCACAACGAGTGAGTGAGCACACATAATGCCTCTAAACTCAAATAACTGGCAGATACATTGAGCTTCACATTTAGTTGAATTAAAATGGACAACAAAGTCCACATGCTTCATCTTCTCACAAACTACCATCGCTTCTTGGACATTATATGTACAAATTGATCCCTCCTCTTTGACAATCAAGGCTTTACAGTAAACTAATCTCTTCAACTCTCGAACTTCTTAGAATTTTGCATTGGTGTACGCTTGCTGAAATTGCTTCTCAAAACCATATATAGTTAGGCAATCAAACAATTTGTGTTGAGACTTGAAGTCTTCTTTCTTCTCTTTCTCTACCTTACTTCTTATAGCATAGTCATATTGTCACGCCCCACTTTTTATTACTCGAAGTCATTACCAAATTCATTAACTTTTCTTCTTTTTCTCTACCTTACTTCTTAAGGCTTTGTCATATTGTTCAACAAATTGTTTTAATTTAGTCTTTAGGTTGACATATCCATCAAAAAAATGCATTCATGCATTCACTTCATTGTGTAGTTAACATGTCAGCCCAAAAAATGTCTTTAACATAGACAGGAACCCATCAATGTCGCTCATCATATAGCACCCCCAACCCTCATTATCATGAAGATTGAATTTTGTAAGCATCTTTTCCCATTTATTCTCAAATTCATCTCTTGTCAAACTGTCATGAACTACATTTTGCATAGCTAACTTTATGGGTTCATATTGAGAATATCCTTTTAACTTCTCCAGAATTTTATTCATTATATGCCATAAGCACCATCAATGTTGAGCCTATGAAAAGACAATTTCTATATCATTTTGCATAGCTTTGCACTGATAAGTTATGATAGCTTATGGAGGATGATCTGACATGCAACTTAACCACGACTTGAATATCCAAACAAATGTGTTAGTGTCTTCACTAGATAACAATCCACAACCAAGCAAAATGAACTGTCCATGGTGATTACTTTCTGCAAATGGAGCAAATGGCATATCATATTTGTTCGTGAGATAAGTTGTGTCAAATGAAACAACATCTCCAAATGCTTCATAAGTCACATCAATCATATAAAAGAATCTCTCACTATGTGCTTGTATCTTCATAAAATAATTTTGAAGTGATTCGGCATCTCCTTCCCCAAGCCTTAATCTTCTTGCTCTCTCAATGTAATTCTTTACATCTCGCTCATCAAATGTCAATGACTTGTATCCCCCCGCTTCAACAACCATTGAATGATTGTTCCTAGACACTCCAATCCCTGCTTGATCATTAATTTCTAATCTTCTCTTCACAGGAGTAAGAATTTTCTTATTCATTGCAAAATAACGTGAGTAAATGGGAATCAAATCATGATTATGCTCAAGGTTAACTGTTGTTAACATATATCTCCCATCCTTTTTTAGACTAGCTCGTACCTTTGCTTTGTAACCAATTTTTGTGGACAAAGATGGCTTTAGATGGTTCACTTTTGATTTCTTTTTTCTCTCCCCCACTCGAGAACATTTAATTGCAAAGTATTTTAATTGCCCATCATCTCCAAAATGTTGTGCTCTATGAGCTATAGAAAATCCAATATGATTAGCATATTTGCCATAAAATGTGTACACTTCTTTCCTTGAGCTAACACACATACCCTTCTTAGGTTCTTCAACTTCTTCACCCTCATTTACTAAAGGATTGTCACCACTAATTGAATCAACCTCCATTCTTCCACTTTCAAAATTGAAATTGAAATAGAATGATTTCAGAATGATTATTATAGGCTGCTTGATTTCAAAATGTTGGAGGATGGAATAAAACCATGATGAGCAGATATTAATTGGAAAACAAATAATATGGCAAATAAAATTTTAACTAGAAACCAGGTAGAATTTTAAATGGAAAACTCAAAACTGGAAACCAGTGTACAATGTGTCAAACTGGAAACAAGTAAATGCAAACTGGAAACAAATAAATAATAATAATAATAATATGTCAATCTAGCCCAACAAACCATGTAGAATTTTAACTGCAAAACTCAAGAGATAAGACTCTTAGGTTCATCGAAATTCAATCCAAGAGATAGGACTTTGGATTGCCATGGAAGATTCAATAAAGTCAAGAAACAAAGCACATTATATATACAAGCTATAACACAATTCACAAGCACATCAAAAATCTGTTCAAAAACATCAAAAATCTTTTTAAAATTAATTTCAAAAGCATCAAAAAGCCTAAATCATCATATATACTAGTGTCATTGCCCAAATTTTAATTTGCTTGTAATGGAGCATACTGATAAATCCCTAACTGATATGGATAGAAAGCTGGGGGGGGGGAGTTTACCTTAGAAACTGTGATCGAGAGTACGCACAAGAAAGAAAAGTAGTCGAAGATTGAGGAGAGTGAGAGACAGAGACGCAGAAGAGCTATAAACAGAGTTCCCAGAGAGCTATGGCCGTCGACGGAGGAGAGCTATGGTTGTCGACGGAGGAGAACTATGGCAGCGACAAGAGAGGACGAACGAGGGAAGAGGGAAAGATGGGGTTTTGGGTTTGGGTTCCAGCTATATTTTTTATGTTTCTTTTTTTTTTTTCTTTTTTCTCATAGGTGCATGTACCACACCTTCTCCCACTGCAATTCTTACTCATATGCCCAGGAACAGTTGTCACATTAGTGGGGGTCATAGGGGTTGGGTTTCTATGAGGGTCTATAGCGGAACTATTAATACTATTAGAACTTGGAGTAGTAGATGTGCGTAAAGTGCGGTGAAACTCATTGTGGAATTCACTTTGATAATTTAAACCATTCATTTTTTAAGATATATCACATAGAATATATATGTAAAAAATTATGTTGATCAGATATTGTTAATCCTTTTATTAAATTATATTTATTTTTATTTTTATATTTAAAATAATACTTACCATTCATTTTTTTCTATACAAATACGTTTGATAAAAAGGCTATTGATCTCCAATTAACTTAATCTTTTGTCGATATGTTCTAGACAATATATCCTAAAAAGTGAATAGTTTGAATTATTGAAATGAGACCCAAGTCTCATCACGCAATAGTTCTGAATTCCTACAAATGATAATCTACTATTGCTTAATTTTATTTTGTTTTTTTTTTGTCAATCAATTGAAGAGTAATTACAAATATGAGAAATATTTATATTATCAAACAAATCACTAGCCACAACAGTTAGAAAGTCAACAAAACTTAACCAACAAATAGTTCTGTTTGCACCTAAAAAAATAATTCAATACGCCTAATTTCTCAGTAATCTCTATGAAATTATTTAGGGTTATAATTTACTATTAATACACCATATATTTTTTCACAAATTACCCTTCAAGATAAAATTATATTTTGTAGTACACCCAAATAATAAACAAATCAATTCAAAAAGACTTCCCTCATCTCTTCCTCTCTTCTCAGTCACAATACTCCCTCTATCTCGTCATTGGTAAATATTGAAGAAGAAGAAGAAGACAAAGAACCATAAATAGGTACAAAGAACAGAGGCAATATAATCCCATTAACCTATTACTTGCCTTCGTACTACCTAGATTTTGTCACGACCCAACCCGGTATCCAGAGGTTAGGCATCACAACCAATCAATAACTGAGGCTACCAAAGGTTAATTCTAAATTTAATAGATTAAAAGCGTAGCGGAGTGAAATAAAAGAGTACCTAAATATTTATTTTATTTAAACATACATCAGAGTTTTTTATTTAATTATATTGCCAGAGTTAGACTGTGTTTACAAATATACAAGGTGCATTATGTCTACTCCAAGCTCGGCCCTGCTATTCCCAAAACTTATAAATACGGGGTTAAAAACCTAAGCCTTATCACCTAAAAGTGCATAACAGTTATAAGCACATTACAGAGTGAGAAATATTATACTAAGAGCATAAGAATATAAAAATCATCATAGATAATTATTTAGGCTAAATAGTAAATAATTTGGCTCGAATAAATAAATTATTTTAAATAACATAAATATAATTCAGAAATCGTATAAACAAAATAATTATAGCCACGGTATAAGATAAAACAGAGAGTTAATGGAACTATGAGAAACAAAGAGTCACCAAATGAATAATTAAAGGGCCAATGGCTATTTAAGTCCTCTAAAGCATAAGACCTCCGTGGTGATATCTACGAAATAATTGTTCATATTATCAATTATCAATTTGTCTCCAAAAACATATTTAAAAAAATAGTTATACCCATAAGGTTTTTTTTTTTCAAAGCAAATAGGGTTCATTAAATAAATAATCTATTTAAAATGCTAATACAATTTACAAAGCATAATTTATGTAATACAATTTATAATAACTCAAGTTATAATACAACTCACCTTAATATCCATCCTAATTTTTTTTCCTTTTTTTTTTTTTTTTGAGCTTTCTTTCCCTTGCTAACTTCCTCCTTCCCTTGCTAACCTTTTTTTTTCCGCCTTAACTAGTAGCACAAGTTCAACCTTTTATACTAAGCTAGGCTGATTTGACAGACACGTTGCTACCTCAGTGCACAAAATGTTGCTACCTAATCCAATTGCCACCTTTGTTGTTTATAGATTGTTTCCAATGTGGCTTAGGCAGATTGCTCATCGATAATGTCTAATTATATTTTAGCCCATATACTAAAATAATTAAATGTACTACATAACGACCTTAAACTTAAATTAAATTACATTTCAAGTATATCAAATATATATACGTTCTCTAATAAATAATTAGTTGATATTAACGCGGTGATAAAACTAATTAAAGATTTGAAGTGTCACATTTCTTCCCTTATAAATAGAATTTTCAAAAAGATGTAGATATCTAGATCGCATTTGATTTTTAGTTTCCCTTCTAACTTCTTCGACACAATGATTTCTCCGTAAGACGTTTACAATGGGTATAGTTTTGTTTCGGAAAATCTGATCACATTGGTCAATGAACTGCATCAGTTGCTCTTTATAAGAGAGATCTTTTTGAACTTCCAGGTCTTCATAATTAATAACATGTTCTGAATCTCGAAGTTATCGCTGAAGTATTGAGACACGAAACACACTGTGAATATTGGACGTCTAGTACGTACACTCGCAACATGCCTTCCAATGTCTGAATTGTTGTTTTAGATTGTCCATCAGTTTGCTGGTGATAAACAGTGCTAAACTTTAGTGTTGTTCCCGAGGATGCTTGCAACTTGTTCCAGAATTGAGATATGAAGTGAGGGTCTCGATCAGATACAATTGATATCGGGGCACCATGCAATCGAATGATCTCTTTGATGTATAAAGTGGTAAATTTGTTAAGAGAGTACTCTGATGGGTAGAAAATGTGCCGACTTCGTTAATCGATCTACTATGACCCATATCACGTTGTTCTTTAAGATTGATTGTGGTAATCTGATAACGAAATCCATGGTGATGTGTTCCCATTTCCATTCAGGCATAAGGAATGGTTGTAGTAGCCCCGCAGGTATCTGATGCTCTACTTCAACTCGTTGATATGAAAGCATTTGAAAACATGGTTTGCCTGCCATGTCTCTTTTCATTAATGCTCTTTTAGATCGTGGTTCATCTTCGTATTCCCAGGATGAACTGCGAATCTCGAGCTAGGGGCTTCCACCAATATCTTTTTTTTGATCTTTGGAATGTCAGGTATGCAAATTCGATTTTGAAACTTCAGTATCCCATTGCATATAGTGAAATCAGGATTAGGCGTACTTCCTTGCTCATTGTATCTTTTTTTCAAAAGTTTGTCCTCGCACTAACGTGTCTTAATATCATCGATTAAAGTGGGTTCTATGACTATATTGGCAAGCAATCCATCAGTCTTGTGTGGAACCAACTTCATATATAGCTTTACTAGCTCCTGCATAAGTGGTTTCTTATCAGTGAGGATGCATGCCAAACTTTTGGTGGCGTTTTGGCTCAACGTGTTTGCTACCACATTAGCCTTGCCTAAGTTGTGTTGAATCTTCAAATCATAATCTTCCATAAGTTCTAACCATTGTTGTTGCGTTATGTTCAGTTCCTTCTATGTAAACAGATACTTAAGACTCTTATGGTTGGTGTAAATTTCACATGTTATCCCGTAGAGATAATAACACCAAATTTTAAGGGCGAAAGTCCCCGTAGTCAATTCCAGATCATGAGTTAGGTAGTTCTTATCATAAGTCTTTAGTTGACGTGAGGCGTACACAATAACCTTCCCATCTAGCCTAAGAACGCAACCCAGTCCATTATATGGGGCATCGCTATAAATTACAAACCCATGCATCCCAATAGGGAGTGCTAATATAGGAGCGGTCACAAGTGTACTTTTTAACTCCTAGAAGCAACATTCTCGTTTGTCAGTCCACTTGAACTGAACGGAGTATTTTTCTGGGTTAACTACGTCAATAGTGATGCAATCTTCGAGAAATTCAAAATGGAACTTCGGTAATATCTCGCTAATCCTAAGAAACTCCGAACTTCAGATACATTAGTAGGTTGCGGCCAATCCACGATTGCTAGAATATTTGTGGGTCGACAAAGATGTCATTCTTGTCAATGACATGACTTAGAAAGTGTACACTAGTGATCCAAAATTCATATTTCTTCAACTTGGCATAGAGTTTGTGCTCACGTAGTGTCTGCAGTACTGGTCGTAAATGTTGTTCATGGTCTTCCGGTGTTTTAGAGTATATGAGAATGTCATCGATGAAAGCAATAA